AAATGAAAAAACCTATAAGTCTCAGCATACTAGAGACAACATCTAGCAACCTAATAGCTATATCCAAATGGAAAAGTCAAGCAATCAAAAGGCTTCTAAGATTCTTCATAAATATTATTACAGCAACAGTATACGAAACTGAATGGGCAAACCTAAGCAAAACAGCAGAAATTGTAGCTCATAACCTAAATTTTAATTCTGATATAGAGCTGAATTGGAAAATTATGTGGAATTTGCTCAAAGAAATGTAGGGCAAAAAATATATTAGCTTAAAAAAGAACAAATCTCTCATGTTTCGTATAAAATGTATTAACAAGATTCTACTTACAAAAGATGTCTGCTTTCAAAGGAATCCTAAGCTTTATAAAAGTTAAAGATGTATAGTATGTTTCTGAAAAGATGAAACCTTCTACCACCTGGCAGAATACGAAATATACCAAGAAATTTGAAAAAAACTCGAAAAAGAAGCTATACAGCTAACAGGTCTAGAAGCTTCAACAAAATTAGATCTAACATTAAATAAGATTTCTCTTGAAGAAGCAATATACAGTACTGAGTCAGAGGAAAAAATGAATAACAGAAAGATATATCTAAGAGAACTTACAAGTATTAAGCAGCTTACAAGCTTAAGCAAAGTAACTCAGTCAAAAAAGAAGGCAAGCGGAATCTTAGTCAGCTTTGTAAAACACTTTTGAGAGTGTTTTTTCGAATGTCTGTAGAAATTTCAGTACAAAATCATAATCGAGTAGGAAAAAAAGAACCAAATCTTGACTAAGAACAAAAAGAAAAATGAAGTAAAAAGGAAAATGAAGACAAAAAAAATGTCTAATCTAGTAATGCAGAAAAGAAAAGAATAAAAAAGAAAGAAGAGAGATTACAGAAAGAGGCATTAGAAAGGGTTGACACATGAGTAAAAACTGTGAAAAAAGAAAGATAGTTAAAAATTAAAACAAAATAAAGTGGTTTTAATATAGGCTAGTAGTAGCCTCTTATGGACTGGAGGTCTAGAGTTTGTACCTGCAGACTAAAGTCTCTGCAAAAGAAATTGTTGCTGCAGCAGATCACACTTGGGTACCTTAAGGCAGCTGAGTAAGTCCAGAATGGTTGAAGGAGAGTACTTTATTATACTTTAGATAGTAATTTACTTTGTAGCATATGTAAGCTTTTCCTTAATAAAATGATGGGCAAGATTGCCAAAAAAAAAAAAAAAAAAAAGAATTGTATTTGCTCTAGATATATATCTTCTGTATTGTCATTTAAGACAATAAATTTTGCTCTAATATATGAGTATTTTTCATATCTTGAAGCAATCTTTGAACTATAAGTTTCTGACCCTATTTTTAATCTTCCATATTCAGTAGCTGTTTATGTTATTGATGGCAATGTAATATTATAAAGTTTATTATAATAATTTTTTAAATTTTGATAAACTTTTTTAGGAAGATTTACATTTTCTATTTTTAGTTTAAGCATCTCTTCGGGTATCTTTCTGTTTTCGTGATATCCGCTACTGTATCAATCTTATCTGCTATTTTAAGATATGCTATTAATTTCTCACTTTCAAAGTTTTTTGTTATCTTTAAACTTCTGCATACTTTTCTTTTTTCTAAAAGTAAAAGAACTTCTCTTAACAATTTGATTTTATTAATATCTTAATTTATGATATATTCTATCTGCATATTTTTCATTAGAATGCGTATAAGCTCAGATTCAATTGACTGATTACTTATTGAATATATATCTAGTAAGCCATTCATCCTTTCAAAAGAAAAGCACCAGTAGGTATAAGGTAGTTCATAATCAAGACAACATTGCCTAAGGTGAAGAGACAAGTGAATATTTGACGATATTAATTCTGGACTATAATTCTCCTCTATTAACTTAGCCATTCTTATTAATTATTGATATGCTTCATCTAGATCAGCTTGCTTCACTATTTAGCTTATTAATGAATTGCATGTATAGACAAAATTGAAGATTATTTCTTTATCACCCAAATCTAACTTATCCCACATGCATGGAATAGTATAAACTTAATAAAAAATCCTTTATTAATCTGCAGTAAATTGTCCAAACTCATATATGAAAGGTTTTGATAGAATATGACCTATATCTGATGAATATTAATATTTAACATACATTTTTCAATTGTTATAAGATAATTTTTGCTAAGTTTATTATTATTGAGTAAACATTGCTTCAATATCTACTTTCTAATTCTAAGAAATAGACAATGCATCGAATCAACTACCATAAATTTAACTAGATCAAAATATTTTAGCTGATATAGTTCAGACTATCTTATTCCTGTACTTTTAATATAGTCATCGTATTTCTGTTTATTTATATATTTTAACCACTGTTTTACCTCTCCAAAATATTCAGAGATATCAACTTCTTTAAATCATTCATCTATATTATCAAAACTGCTGTAGTGATTTCTCTTAGATATATTATCATATTTTGTATATTTTGAATACTGATGATATTTTATAGCATGACTTGTATAACCACTAATCTTTCTTGCAGCAGGAACATCATTTACTGATAATATTAATGCAATATAAATCTTTTGTCCTTCTTTATATTCATATATTACAAGAATATTTATACCTTTAGAAAATTTGACCAACTCATCAACAATTGGTACAAGATAGTTATTAATTTGATGTTTACTTGGTTTATTTGGTCCAGGAATAATACCTAATATTAAAATATTATTTGGTTTAAATCTCTCTTCACGTAACAAATTATACAAAACTCTATATATCACTTCAGTACCATGTAATATATAGTCAAATAGTTGAAACTAATCTATATTAATAATAAAGCCGATATATATATCAAGTATATCATCAGTAAAAAATGGTATAAGATTATTAGGATCTATAGTAAAATTACACCAGATATTGCTCTCATATATATCTGAGTATATTCCATCTAGTATATATCTATTTTTAGAATACCATAACATTTTCTCAAAGCCTGCTCGCTGATACATCATATAAAGCTATTGCTTTATACTGCTAACTAGATAAAGTTTAGATAGTTGCATTAAAGTACTATCTCTTGTTTTTATTAACACTACTAATGGTTCATTACAAGCTAATCACTGTGCTTTTACTCTATGTTTGGGATATTCAATATGTATACACTTTTTGCATTCTTGTTTGTTAGCACAAATATTTTCTACCTACAATAGGTTATAGAGTTTATAATATTTTGGGCATGTAACATATTTTTTATATTTAGTAGAAATCTCTAAAGATGATTTAATTGCATTTATAGATGTTAGTAGCCTATCAGCTTCATCTACTTTGTAATGAATTAATATATTTCAAAAAAATTTAATTAATATATCCAATTCAGTATCAGGTATATTATATCTTTATTGATATTTTATTATTCATAAAATGATCTAATTCAGTTATTTATTACATCAGCAAATTCATATTCCATAATTACATGTAGGAATTATGAGAGTCCGTAGTCAATATATAGAAATCATACATGTATTAGTCATATAAACAACTTATATGTATAATTTACACATGTTAAACATAGTTTCATATATGTTATACCAATATAGTTTAGATATAATTATATATACATATGTATTTGTCAGATATACATATAATACATATAATTTATATATGTATATCCAAACTCAAGACTATCATTACTGTATAGTAAATATAGAGGTGTAGCTACTATGTGTAATATATGCATGTCTATTTGTTGGTTCTAATTCAGATTTGAAAGAACCTGAATTTGGTTCAGATTAGGTCTTTCAAATCTGAAATTGGTCTATATTATAGTTCTTCTAAACTTAAATTTGATTTAGATTCAGGTTTTTCTGAACCTGAATTGGTTCAGATTCAGGTTCCTTAGAACACAAATTCAGGTTCTTCCAGATCTGAATTTGATTCAAATTCAGGTTATTTCGATCCTGAATTTGATTCAGATTCAGGTTTTTTCGAGCCCAGATCCAGATTCTTCTGAACTCAGAACTAGGTTCTTTTGAACTCAGATCTAGGTTCTTTGAAATCGAATTTGGTCTAGATTAGGTTGTTCAAACCTGAACTTGGAGTTTTTTGAACCTGAGTTTAGTTGTCTATAAGTAGGTTCTTTCAAATCTGAATTTGGTTTAGATTAGATTGAATTTGAACTACATATTAAGTAAAATATTAGTTTATCACAGATTAGCCAATCAGATTAGATTTGCAAAGTAAACAAATATTTAATATTTTTTTCTTTTATATTTTTATTATTATTTTTTCTTCTACTTTTTCACTAAAGTTTTTTTATACTTGTCTTTTTTTGTCTAGTTTCTTTGTTATTTGTTAGTATTATCTTTTAAGCTTCATAATATTATTACTAGTATAGGTGTAATTTCAAAATTTTGGTATTATTTGTATTATCATTTTTAGTTATTAGTGTAGAAATAAGTTTCTTTTGTCATTTCTTAGTAGTTCTTTTTTTGTTTCTTCAAAAAGTTTTTTTGTATATCTTTGTAAAATCTTTTGTTAACTTTTGTAGGTTTTTTTTTGTTATTTCTTCTATAGATTCTTTTATTATTTCTTCTATAATTTTTTTGTCAGTTCTTTAGTAGTTTTTTCATATTTCTTTATGTTTTTTCAGTTGTTCTTGTACTTTTTGTTAGTTTTGTATTGTTTTTTTGAGATATTTTCTTGCTTAAATCAGTTAGTTTGTACTTTAAAACCTGAACTAATACTGTTTAAAAACAGAAACAAATTCTGAGTTTTAAACTTGTTTGTATACATATACTATAAATTATGCTTCCTGAACATGTTAGTTTAGACTCTTATTTATTATAAAATAAAATAAATTATATAGTGATAGAACTATTAATATTGTATTTATTACATGTATTATTATTACTTTATTATATGTATTATTATTATATTATTTATTTATTTATTAACTATCAATAACACCTGCTTAAAACTATATCTTTAAACAAAGACTAGCAGAAATATTTTTTTCAGACAGCTGATTACATAATGAGTTAATTGTATTTTTTGCTTTCAAAAATATTTGCTCACTAGATATACTTGTTGTCTGTATAACCAAATAGTCTTATGCTATTTGAACAAGCTCAGCATAATATTTATTAATTGATTGTATTTTCTAGAAATCAAATACTTATAGTATTGTTTATTACTAGTTTCAATAAGTTCATTCTAGAATAAATTAGTTTTAAATTGTTTTGGAAGTCAATTTGTTACCTCAGAAAATATTTTTGGTTCTAAGGAATTTTGAGAATTTATTAAGTTTGATATAACAGTTTCATTAATATGTTCAGATGAATTTTTTTTGTATATTATATGAAATTAATAATTAAATAAAGCTAAATAAAACTTGAATAAAAAGCTAGTATTTATATTTTTGAGAATATTTCTATAAACATTGATATAATTTTTTTTTTTTTAATTAAAGGCGGCTTACTTTGCCGAGTGGATTTTATTAGTTTAATATATGAAGTTGTCTGTTGACAATCCCCTACAGTTTGTAATTATATGAAGAGTATACAACCTGCTACATGTACAACTTTAGTTATTGTCTAATCCGATCAAAGACTTTGAGCATATGATTTTTCTAGATCAAGCATTAGCTAGTGTGACTGTCAAAAGCTATACTACTTCACCAACTCGGGATTTCTACCATGCAGGTCCCTTGCCTGTAGATCCTATCAAGATTTATTTGTGTAATTTCATCTCTCCAAATGCCTTGTCATACTTCTAATATCTGGATGATATTGATGTAATGTGATTTACAAGGTCACAACCCCAGAAATGGATAGGGTTTACCGTAAGTTGAGTACAAAGGTCTGAGTAATTATTCAAATTCGTTGGCAGTAGGATTTGAACCCCAGACCTCCTGCATAGTGGTCTGGCAATCTAACTATTACACTAAGATTGCCAGACCTAGGGTAAACAATTTTTAAAAGTAATAAATATAATAAAGAGTTATAATAACTTAGAATTAAAAATTCTAAAACTTTTAATTAATTAAGATAGTTTAATATCAATTAAATTAAAATCTAAATTTAAAAGGTCTGGCGATCTTAGTGTAGTGGTTAGGTTGCCAGACTGCTATGCAAGAGGTTTGGAGTTCAAATCCCACTG